GTGAAATTTTCATCCAAAGAATGTTGACAAGTCTATAAAAATTTGTAATAGTTGCAAATATATTCTCACTTCCACAAAGTTTAGCATTCATAACTATTTATTTTATTTATATAATAAATTAATTTAATATATCTAGAAGTTAAATAAGAGAAGGATAATTTGCAAGCTTGTGTATCAAATGAATTATTTTTCAAAGATGAGAGCAATCCACTCTCTTTTTGAAAGAAAGCATTAATGTTGGAAGAAAAAAAAAATGATAGTTTATAGGTGGATAGTCCGCAAAATAATATGAAACTTAAAAAGAAAAGAAAAAGGAATTATTATTCTTGTCCACTTGTCAAACATAATCAGGATGAAAGGGTGACAAAACGGAAGATGGTATGTGGATGCATGCCGGACAGGGTGATCTGCGCAGAACATTCAGACCCGTTATCCCTCCACTACACAGAGCGGGGAGTGAACGCTGCTCGGTTGCCCGCCTGACGCGGTGCCCCCCTCACTATCGCCCGCGCAACCCCACCCTCCGGCGAGATCCCGCTAGCGACTCCGTGCTTGGAGTGGGCAGGCCCTCCACACGCCTCCGCAGGCCCTTACCCGGCGCCCCACATCCTCACCCTCCTTCCCCCGCGATTGGGTTACAAGCGGACGCTACCCCGCCCAGATGTCCGCTGCGTACCCTCCCTCCCTTTACATCCCCTCCACCACTGCACGCCCCAAAGCCTATGGCGCTTTTAGTTTCAACAACTCTTTCGTTGTGGTCCATTGTTTGCATGGTTTCATTTGTCCTCTGCACTAAATTACCTGTGGTGTCAATGGCACACATTTTTCTGGCAATCTATTTCATCATTCTGTGCTGGGTACAGGAGCACTTGTGACGGATTATACGATTGGTGTCGGTTGCGCTGCTTGCTTCTGTTCGATTTTAAGTTCTTTGCTAGAGTCTGCGCTGAATTTGATTTTATGATATTTTTTAGTCTCACCTGAATCTGCGCAGTGCTGGGACGGCCCTTGGATAATATTCTTGACGATCGTGTGAATGAAGCCGGTGTGGCCTCTCAATCGATGAATGTGATTTTCTGCAATTTTTCCATCCAGCTGTCATATCTGCGAATAGAAGCACGGCCTCATTCTTTTAGATCATGCTGCTCAGATTCATTTCTGCGTGGCCCATTTCTCAATTTTCCAATCACAGCCGTGCCTCAAATTTAATATTTATATGCCGGTTAAGAATTCTCGGAAGTCGTTCTTGAACTGTACAGGATAATACCGAGATCCCTTGTGATGAAAAACATTTACCCCAAAGATTTCAATCACAGGTCCCTCTCTTTGGCAAAATCATAAGTCTCTTTCATGGTAATACCGACAGTTGCTGTCAAAGGTCCGTCTCGAAAACTTGTGGAGAGCATCCATAAAAACATCACGGAAGCAATGTTCTCTGCACTATCAGAGCGAGGTTTCGATCCTCGGACCTGTGGGTTATGGGCCCACCACGCTTCCGCTGCGCCACTCTGATTTTGACACCTCGAAACAGTTTCAAGTACTAGTACAAAATATTATTCTACTACTGATCGACGTGGACTTCGTGTGTTTATGTGTATATCTTGGCGTTGTTAATTTTGGTGCTTGTCCCTACACATATTGTGATGGATTGTTGGTTTCAATTGGTATCTCTCTCACACCCACACGTGAAACAAACATATAAATAACTTCTAGTACATATGCAAATGCACGCCCTATTCACTTGATTTTTTTCCATTGGCTCCTTACATGTAGCAATGTCCAAATCATGCTTTTGCTAATCACCTTATTTATCCCACATGCGTCGATTCATCCAATCCACTTTTCAACCAATTCTCAACAAAAGGAGTTTGTGCTTGCTTTGTATTTGCAATCTCATAATTAAATTTGTATCTACAAATCTCATTTGATAATATCCCACATTTTCATGTAATATTGTAATGATACATTCATAAACACATCAAATAATATTTGAGTTTGTGAGGCAAAAAAAACATCCATATGTGTTTTTGTAAAAATTTCATCCACGTTTGGTGCTTATATTTAATGAATACCATTTCATGAAAATTATTCCACAATCAAGTTTTTGTCTACATTTGGAGCTAGTATAAATGATGAAGACTTTTACAGTATTTCAAATTTTTTTCTACACAGAGAAAATAGAGAGTCAATGATGAAAATTAAAGTTGATGATCCAGATTATTTTATTTATTTATTTATTGTTGCACTTTAGCATACAAGAATTCAGTTACTTCATTATTACTTCAATTTTGTACACAAATGTATATTTTTTCTTTATATATATATATATATATATATATATATAGTAGTTTTATTTGGAGAAAAGTATTCATTTTGCTTTGTTCTTTTTTATAATTCATTAATTGTGGAAAATAAGGTTTTTGTTGCTTTCATTATTGTATCCAACAATATCAAAATTTTGAATTTGTATCTTGTCCTCATACTAACATCTACATTCTCATGAAGAATATACTATCTTGAATAAAAATGAAGTTTACAATATTGAACGAATTTAAAATTCCAGCCTTAGACTATCCACCACCAAGCTAGAATTACTTGCTTATACAATTTTCTTTACTTATAGACTTTAAAAATATATTTATATTATTTTTTAAATTATTTTTTAGTTTTAAAGATTGTGGTGTGTTGGTTTAGAGACTTGCCAGGTAGACACCTCCTTTTATTATGTGGACACCTCTCCCTCCAATGTGCCGAATATCCTTTCATTCATGCATTAGTATGATTATTTTACATTTTATGGCCTATAATTCCTAAATCTATAAATTTTAATAATATGTACTATAAAAAAAAAATCAAATATAATTTAATATGTAATACAACACAACAATTAAAAAAATAACTTTTGACCAATATGCTTTTTTGATATTTTTTGCTTTAAAAGTGTACATATGCATGTTTCATACCCCACCTAGTTTGAACTGTTTGGACCATTTTAGGGGTTATAGGTTATAAAATATATAATGATAATATGACAATGATATTATTGTGTGTATGCTGGAAAACATCGCACATGTGGGTGTCCAAGCAATAGAAGGGAGGTATCCACCTAAAACTTTTGTTAGTATATTATAAAAAAATATTAGAAGTTGGAATGTAACAAGTAGTAGATTGGTCCAAGAGATAGTTGACCTCCTTCAAGACTAACCATACAATTATGAGGTTGGTATTTTGACAATTTATTAATATTCATGATCTCAAATTCAACCTTGGAAGTGATAACCACATTATCTACTATTTATCTATTGCTACTATAACTATGTAGTAGAATTAGAAATATTTTTAAATGTTGGAATGACAAGACACACATGCTTGCTATCATGCAATATGTGAATGATGTGATTTAAAACTTTGGAGCCGTCTAATAACCACAAATTCACAAAGTATTGTTTATCTCATATTTAGTGAATTTCTTACAAGTTTGACATATTTATTATTTAGATGTAATGAGTGGAGGATTTTTTGACCTTCAAAGAGTTTGGAAATTAATTACATTTGCATGACACAAAAACATAAAAATGTCATATGATGCTCTAATTTTTAAGATTTGTATAATTTACAATAAAAACTTATAAAAATATTTAGTATTAATAGGCTATTAAATATTTAGCTATCATAGGCACATATAATTACTTAGATAAGAAGTATTATGTAGAAGAAAAATGGAGATAAATTTGATAATATCTTATAGAGAAGCTTCTTAAAAGCTTCATAGACATGGATTAAATATTTTACGTGTTTGTAGTTGATTGATAGGTTAAGAATTGAGCCAATATGTTGGCTATGCATCACACATGTTGGCAATTTGTAGTACAAGTTAGCCATGTGGCATTGTCGTATTACATGCTTTCCTGCTTGAGAACGCGCCGGGCGTTTGGCTATAGAAGGTAGTATGGAGATTCGCTAATATTCAAGCAGTCTATCGGTTTTTGATTGTTGGAATATAAACAATTACAAGAATATACCATAAATCTATACGGATGTCCTTTGACTGCTCGCCAAAATCCTTTTCGCCCCAGCCGATAGGTCTCTAGATGCTACACAGAACCCTGAACAACCCAATCTGCTAATCTCCGATATCGCTTTCTACTCACGACTTTGTATCCACTGACTGTCTTGTTAGATTAACCGAAAAATTTTCATTCACTCTGCATACTCAATCCTATAGACACCCTTTTAATTCTTCAATCACAGACGTAACTTCAATTTCACAAAACAGTCAAGAGTAATCACACCCACTTCATTAAAACCTCGATTCACTAGTACAACACTGACTTTTAGCAACGATTGCCTCAGTCTTCCCAAAACCCTATGAAGAAAAAAAAAAACCCCAATTCTCAGTTTTCTCTCCCTCTCCCCCCCCCCCCTCTATCCTCCCCGAAGCATGAAGCTAGCTCTCGGACCCTTAAAAACTCTTATTCTCTCCCTTTCATTTCTTTACCTATCCTCCCCTTTAACCTTAATTCTCTCCTCTTTCAAACCCTAGCCTCTGAATTTCTTCAATCTTCCGTCTTAGATCCGAAATTGGCTCCGCCATCAAAGCTTTCTCCTCCATTTTTTGCCTTTTAAAAGGTTTTTTTTCTGGAAACAACATTCCCTGAAACAGCACACAGAACAAGAGAGCCTAAAATAGAATCGAAACCCCCATAATCAGGACCACATTGAGTCGCCCGACCAATTTAGGTCTCATATTGGCTAAGAGGCCCGTAGTAAGACTTGGATGTTCCCGTAATTGGGTCAAATTGGTCCTTCGTGTCAGGCTCGCTTAGTCATAGATTTAGTCCTTTCGATTCTGTTGACTCCGACTATTGGACTCGAACGGAGCATTTCGTTACTGGTAAGTATGCCCTGACCGACTGTGATGGGGTCTTTGAACTGGCCCCTGAATATTGGCACTGGAATTGGTCGTTGCTTCCAATATTCGAGGTAAGTGAATATTAATAAAAGTCCCCTTTCTTTATATTTTCATGGTATACTCGTACTACAACAAGACAGCGTACATGTAGGAAACTTGTCTTGCAAGTTAGATATTTGTTTTGCAAGTTGAACGTGTATTGGAGGTGCCTCAAATTTAATATTTATATGCAGGTTAAGAATTCTGGGAAGTCGTTCTTGAACTGTACAGGATAATACCGAGATCCCTTCTTATGAAAAACATTTACCCCAAAGATTTCAATCACAGGTCCCTCTCTTTAGCAAAATCATAAGTCTCTTTCATAGTTGTATCCTTTCGGTTTCTACTTGCTCTCCAGCTTGGCTGTGATCTGCTCTAGAGTTAAGCCTTTTGTCTCCGGAACACTCGTAAAAATGAAAACGAGGGCGAACAAGCTAACGATGCCGAAGATCACAAATGTGTAGGATTCACCGACGAGGTCTTGGAGAGGAGCAAACGCTAATGCGACCACAGCATTTGATCCAAAGTTTATGAGCGTGGTCATGCTGAGAGCTCGGCCTCGTGTGCGAAGCGGGAAGACCTCAGACACCACGAGCCAGGAGATAGGGCCGAAAGAGATCTGGTAGCAGCCAACGTAAAGAAGCAGGGAGCCTACGGCAAGATATGGATAATCTTTTAGAAAAGAGAAGTATGCAGCAAGAGTGACTAGGCTCAAAGTGATGCCAGTTACTCCACCAAGGAGTAAAGGACGTCGTCCCAGCTTGTCGACGTTGAGCACCGCAAGAGCGGTCATGATAAGCTTGAAAATCCCTAACAAGACAGCCAGCTTGGTGGCATCGGATGCAACGGAGAAGCCTGCAGTCTGCAAAATGGTGGCCGCGTAGTAGAGAACGCTGGGCTGGCCAGTGAATTGCTGAAAGAAGACGAGCCCTCCTCCAACTGACAGAGCTTTTAGGTTAACTCCTTGGAACAAATCTTTGAAGGAAACATTCACATCTTCTCCTTCACATGCAGTTGTGAGGGCAGACCATTGCTTCTCTGATTCCTCTTCCGCCGATTCCAGGCTGCATGATTGCCCTCGGAGCCTTTGAAGCGCGCAGGCTGCGTCTTGTTTTAGTGTTCTTTCGTTACCCTTACCTTGAACTGCTTGAAGGAGAAGCCATCTCGGAGATGGCGGCAACCACCACATGCCGATGCCCATCAGCAGTCCAATTGGAGAAGCAAAACCGTACATAACTCTCCACCCGCCTACGGCATCAACTTGGTTGTTGCCAACCAAATACCCTAGTAAAATTCCACATACTATGAAAGCTTCCTTGAGAGAGATTAGAGTTCCCCGAATCTGGCTGGGTGAAGTTTCGGCGATGTACATGGGCGCCGCATGCATGGTCAATCCTATCCCGAGGCCAAAAATTATCCTCCCTATCACCAAAATCGCAAAGCTCGGTGCGAACCCCGTGATCAAGCTCCCGAAGATGTAAAGTAGCGACGCAACCATGAGCTCCTTTCGACGCCCAAGGAAATCAGCAATGTTGAACGCGACAACGGACCCCAAGAGGGCGCCATAGAGCGACCCACTGACAACCAACCCTATCTGAATTGAGGACAGGTTATACCAATCCGTGCCGCTCAACTCCGGCGAAACGATGGACACGGCTGCTCCCGAGGTGGCGCCAATGTCGTAACCGAAGAGCAAACCTCCAACTGCAGGGAAGAGGAAGGGCAAAAGCACCGCACTCCACTCAAACTCCGTCTCCTCTCCCGGGCCTTGTCGCTGCACCAACGGCTCAAACAACAGACTCACATCCTTCTTCACGTTCACAGCACCAACATTACTGTCCTCCCCGTCCATGGCCAATCCCGAGGTCGTCCAGCACTAAACGCAAATCAAAAGACCTCAAGTTCCAGCACTTCTCCACAACCTTCTCAGACACAGACGCACGGACTCAAATCCCTCAAAGCGTGGTATCAATTTACAGCGTTTCATGAACTCAGCAAGTCGACATCTGCTCCTGACGCATCCACCGCAAAAGACTGCAAGGTGACGGAGGCGTGAGCTAATCAAACACAGAAACCGAGAGGTTAAGGTCACGCCCACGACGATTTCCTCGAATACGGTTCAAAATCTGCAGTCGAAGAAGGACATTACTACACGCGTGGAGCATTTTGTACCATGGCCAGTGTATGCGCTGGCTTGCACTGCAAGCGATATCAAAATCATGCACTGATTGATCCATAGGGTGACGAGACGTGTGATCGAGGAGGCGGAAGTGATCGTCGATGACGATGGCGGACTTAAGAGCCTCTCGGGAGTCGGTAGCTGCCTAGAATGCCTCCCTGGCGCGGAGATCGGTTAGTGGGTTCGCACGCCCATTTCCGCTTCGACCCCAATTCCGCCAAGTTCCCATTCCCGTGAAGCCCCCCTGTTCCCGATGTACCCCCATTCCAGCTAAAACCTCATCCCCGCAGAACTTCTATTCCAGTTGAAACCAATTTCCGCTTCACCCTTTCTACAGCTGAACCCCTATTCCCGCATTCAGCTAATGTACAGCTCTAGGGGAAATATGTGTAATTGAGCATGGAAATTCCACAAATATGTTTTGGTCTTCGTTTCCTTTTTTAGAGTTTTGTGATTTTGTTGTGATATGATTTCTATCAGGTAGATTTTTGTTAGCTCCAGCTAGAGTCCTACTCGAGAACATTTGTTTGCGTTTGGTTATATATTGTCACAACTTCTATTCCAGTTGAGAAATTTTACCTTCTTGTTTGTGTGTGTGTGCAATGCTCTTGAATGTCATATTTGTGCATTCTAACCGAAGTTTTAAATGCTTCCAATGAAATAATGGATGATAAGTTCGTTGGTTGACTCAAGATCGTACTAAATAGCCATACTTTTTATGGTCAAATAAATGAGGATCATATTAGTTATTCAGTTCAAATTCTTACTTGTTAATATATTAAAAAAAAAAAAAAAAAAAAAAAATTTTGAAGAAGAAGAAGAAGAAGAAGAAGAAAATAATAGGCAGAGATTGAACTGTTTGTATTAATTTTGGGATTTTCAAAATTCAATTTTGATATTGGTTGTTCACAGTTTTTTTTTTTTTTTTTTTTTTTTTTTTTTTCATGTTTACTGTGCAAATTCGAAGGATTCTACAAATTTGTTTTTATTCTTTTACCAAGTTTTACTTTATGGCTACAAAATATTTTTTTTTAAATGTATATTAAAAAGTACAACAAGATATTCTTAGCAATCACAACGAATTTTTTTGCATAAAACTTAAAAACTTAAAGTCCATCAATATAAATGCTAGATATGAATGTATACATTATTCATAATCCAAAACATGTATTCAGATGCTCTTGAATCAATTATTTGAAATCATACTGAAATTTAAGTTTGATGTATATATATATACAAACATATATCAAATCTCAAATTAATTAAAGGATTTTTTTTTAAACTAATTTTTCGACAATTAATTTAATTTGTGGAAAAACGAATTGTTCAATTCAGAGACCAGTTAGGCAGTAACGGAATAAGTTCAGGACCGTCGTGTCCTCGCAAACACATTCCATTCCAAATTCCATTCGGAACATGCCAGCTGAGTCTGCACAGATGCCAATTCCACTTCATCCCGCAGTTCCGCTGAAACAGCTCTCAATTCCATTATCACCTTCTTCCTTTTACTTTATCCGAAAATCGAAAGTACCTTTTTCTTCACGACGCTCCCCGACCTCCTTCCCTTAAACCTTACGGATAATGTCTGGCACGAAAGAAATGACTCTCCGACCTCCGGTTGAAACACCCGCATGAGCTGGAGAGACTAAAATTCGCTGTTCGGTAACGCAGGTGACCTCTCAGGAACCACCGTCCTTCGGTCGCAGATCGTCTTCTAGTGTCTTGTGTCCAGCCAGGGTTCTATTTGGACGTAGCGAAGTTGCGCATGCTCCCTGCGCCATCGCCATCGCCATCGCTACTGGATTTTGGTGTAGAGGCGGTGAATTGTATAGTTCGGGAGAGGAGGAGAGCAGGGAGGAAGGGGCTGTCGGCGCCCGCAAGCCGCATTGGGAACGGGCGAGAATTGGGAGAAATAGGAGGTTTCTGAACTTCAGCTTGAGCCTCCCGTTGAGAGATGGCCATGGAGTCGCGACTCTTGCAAGCAGGGGATGTATCCTCACCGCGAGGGTGTTTTATTGTATCCAGTGCGAGGGATGGCGCGGGGCATAGGCAAGGTCAGCATGGATTCCGAGTGTCCGCGCAGAGGTTTATGAGGGGCGTCCAGGTGCGACAAGGTGGGAATGTGTGTGGGAGGCTGGAGAAGAAGGTTTCGAAGTCGAAGAGTGTTGTGGTAGCTGCTCGGAAGTCTACTCAAGGTCTGTGAGAATTCCTATGTGGATTGCGCATTTTCTGGTTGTAGGTAGTGTTCCGGGGGTTAGTTTGGAAGCCAAGGTTCGGGAGGGCTCTCAGTGTATATTCCAGGTGTTTTGGAGTCAATGAAATATTTTCCTGAAGCTTCCAAATGGGCCCGTGAGTATTCCGTGACTAATTTTGGAAATTTCTTTAGTAATAAGTGCAGATTATCATTTGAACATTTGGTTTTCTTCAATGCTATAGGAATGGATTGCACTTGCTGTTGTGTACATGCAATTGAGGAAATGAACATTGAATGTGATAGTGGAGGCGTTTCCGTTGAGCTTAGGCATGAAATCAGCTACTGCAATGCGGGTACCTTTAGGGTTAACGAACTTCTGTTGGAGCATGAGTGCGAAAATTGCAGCCGTGACAGTTCCTCGTCAACGTCGTTTTCTTGCCCTAATTATGGCGAGAATTTCAATATAGTGAAGGTGGTGTTGAATGACAGAGCAACGGGAGACTGTTGTAAGCAAGGACGACTCGAATGAGTACATTGAAAGCTCCGCTGAAGCGCAAGGGTCTGGATATTCTTACATGTGCGTTCTTGCTTCCTTGCTCATTAATTTCTTTTTCATTGCTTACGTGTCCCAAGCAGATGGGTTTATCCTTAAAATACTAGTATTTTAGATGCAGAGACTTTATTGGTTTTGAATGTGATATGTGGCAATTAGTTGTGAAGGTTAGGGTACGGGGGACAAATGATTCCTCCACAGTATCTCCAAATTTTCGCGAGCTAAGTATGTACTTGCATCTACGCGGGTAGCGTCATGGTAGACTGGATAACACGTCAGCACTAGAAATTCACAAGGCATATGTGTTTGATTCTTAATGCTGAATCGATTCTTGCAGTGGATCACCTCTATTATGGATCGGTGTGGGAGTGGGTCTTTCAGCTCTTTTTTCTTTTGTAAGTCACATTGAGTTATGTATTTGCATTTAGAAAAAAAGTATTGCTGCTAAAATTTCTGATTTTGCATTCAGGAACCTCCTCACATGGCTTGGTTAACAATCCATCAGTTGGGAGGTAATAGAAAGTGATGTATACTACTTGGTCTAGTTATGTCTCTAGTTATTAGACTGACATGCATTGGGTGGTGTTGTATGGCAGGGTGCTAACGCAGTCAAGGTGTAGTACGCCCCTCAGTTATCATCTCAGTTTACTGTTATCATTCATCTTATAGCTTATTTGCTTCCACTACATTTATTTTGCCTCTATTGCTTTGGTTTTAGCCTAATTTCTTTTGATGTATTTACCTGTATTGTTTAGGGCTCTTAACGGCCTCATTTTACTGCTCTTTGAATCGTATTCATAGTTAGAAACGATCAATTAGAGTATCGAGAATAAATAGGATTGTGGTGCAGAGATACGCCATGCAACAAATGTTGAAATCCATGACCGGGAGCGCTGGGGGCCCTGGTGCTAGTCCGTTCGGTTCTCCTGGTGCTAATCCTTTTGGAGCACCAGGTGGTAACCCATTTGCTGGTATGCCAATGCCTCCACCAGGTGCTGGGTTCCCGTTCCCTATGCCTCCTACTGCAGCTTCTCCTTCTCCTTCTCCTGTCAGTGCTGCAGCTGCGGCACCTCCGGTCGATGTGTCTCCTACTAATGTGACATCCTCCCAGCCCTCTGTCGTAAGCGAGACACCAAAAACTTCTACTGATGCTAAGAAAACTGGTAATTTTAGCAGCTATACCCATTCTTCCGAATCAGGATGACTCAAACTTCTGAAATGTACATCTTGCGAAATCAAGTTTACTTGTGAAGGGTATGGTTCATATGTCATTCTCATTCACCAGTTCTTGGAGTGAGCCTCACGTTTCTTTCTTCTGAATCGTGTACGCAATGTCTCTCTCTTTTTTTTGCTACAGCTTTTACAGATGTCAATGCAAATGAAATCTTAGAAAGAGAGCAGCAAGCAGCAGCAGCCAGGTTCAGTGATCAAGCTCCATCAGCATCAGAGCCTACGAGGCCCTACTTTGCAGATCCTGAGGTGAGTCTAGAGTTTATGTTGAATCTGTCTGTTTTCTTTGGATTCTTTATATTATCCTAGCAACAGGATTCTGGAGCATGACCTTGTTAATAATTTGATCGAATATTGTGAATTTCAGCCTTTTATAACCGGAATTATTCTCTTTAACAAGTGTATTCATGCCATAATCTAGCAGTTTAATTAATTTGCCTATGGTTTGAATTATCAATACATGGTGACTTTGAGTACACTCAATATTCTGAAATGTGAGGCGTTGGTGGGATGAAAGTTGGTAGATTCTAAGAGTGGAAGCAACAGTGGAGCTGGAGCTGGCCCATCATCTAACGATCGTATGATTTCTTTAACTTTATATTTTAGATTTGAATGCGCAAGCACTGATGTGCTTTCTTCCCATTATTCTGAAATTAGACATAGCATCAGTAATCATAAATTTTTTAATCTCTGGATACCACCATAGAAAGTGGGTATAAGGGAGGACTTCGGTTATAGTCCTCGTCCCCTCCCTGACCTTGTGCCAAGTTGTTTTGAATGCACAACTTGGCCCGTGCTCTCATGGACACATGTTCGTGCATGTCATTTCATGAAGTATTGAGTTCCCATTACCTAATTTGGGGTTAGGCCCTGCTTGAATCAAAGGGTCCCATGGTCCTCCATTACCAGGACCTCGCGGGTCCACTCTTGCTCAAAGTATATGTAGCTTAGTCATTGTTCCTTCTATATTAGGTGGAATTAATGTGGGAAAGAATTTTGGTTCTTAAAATACTCATTCATTGCCCCTTCAGGTCGTCTTCTTACCTTAAATTGGGAAAGAGGGTTTAAATTATTTACTTAGAGTAGTTCATTTTCTATTGGGAGAATTTCGTAATGATTGGGTTGTTTGTTGTTGTCTCTAGCATGGAATTCTGCTGGAAAAGGAAAACAGACGGTCTTCACTGTTGACCAATTGGAGAAGATGATGGAGGATCCAACAGTTCAAAAGATGGTTTACCCGTATGACCTTTTTAGACCTCAACCAATCTTGTGCTCTTGAGATTGGAAGTTTCATCTTATTTATTTTGACAAGACATCTTGGTGTTTAGGGCAATCCTGCTCCTAATTCGCACCTCAAGTCATGCAGTGTTTTTAACGTATGATGCAAAACTTTAGGGTGATTGTAGTTTTTACATGCTGCTTGTGGTTGCTGATATATCTTCGTTTCTTATTTGCCAGGTATTTGCCAGAGGAAATGAGGAACCCGACTACTTTCAAATGTAAGTTTATCGTTTGTCAAGGTTATTTGGATAGCATAGTTTGTTTAACGTAACTGCTTTCCCCTGATGACGCGAATAAATAAGAACAAAACGTACAAGTAAGAAACTTGTGGAGCTTGTGGTCACAGTTCGAAACATTTATGACTCAAACATTGTATGGTTTCGTGGTATTAAGAGGTTTATCTGGAGTCTGATCTGGGATACAATATGCAGGGATGATGCAAAACCCCCAGTACCGGCAGCAATTGCAAGATATGCTGTAAGTTTCTTAAGCAGCTAGAGATTGTTAAATGAACAAGGTTCTACGTAAGTATTTATTGATGCATTCGGTGGCAAGACGGATGTAGTTCAAATTGTAATTGAATCAATATTGTCTTGGACGTATCTGGTACAGTAATAGTATGGGCGGAGATGGTGCGTGGGACAATCGCATGTCAGACATGCTGAACAACTTCGACCTGAACAGCACCGAGGTCAAGCAACAATTTGGTATGTTTTGAAGGCTCGATTTACATTCAATTACACCTCCGTGATATATTGAGATCCAGAGCCAAGTTGTGGCTTGGTCTTTTCTTCGACATCGAGTTTTGGGATGCTGTGACCATTCTGCTTTGTACATGCAATTCATTTCCCAATGTTAAACCATGTTCATCCATGTGTTACAGAACAAATTGGGCTAACTCCTGAAGAAGTTGTAGCCAAGATCATGGCAAACCCAGAAGTTGCGGTAGCTTTCCAGAACCCAAAAGTCCAGGCTGCTATTATGGATGTAAGTTGTGGTTTCACTCTCATATAAACTTTTGCACTATAGTAGTCGTCCTGGGTGTTGCTCCATATATAATTAGTGTCTCTAGCCTGGTCAGAGGAACTGTCATAAATGTATAGATCAATGACCTTGTTGATTAGTAATTAGAGGTAGTAACAGACTATCAAATTTTCAGTATTTTATTTTATTTTTATATTTTTGGTGTTTTGCGACGATTCATTTGTTCTAATATCGATCTCTTTTTTTCTTTTTTTTGATGGCTTCAGTGCTCAACAAATCCATTGAATATTACTAAGTATCAGAATGACAAGGAGGTATGCATGTCTGATCTTTGTGTTTGTAGAAATTTTCTATGGTTAACAAAGTGCATTTGCGTCAATCTTTTGCAATAGACTTGGTAATACTTCTTTACAGACTCATGTCGTTTCATGGTTATGTCTAATCAGAAAATTCATTTAGTATAGCATCGGAACATCTTTGATCGGAGTTTACACTCATGTAAAGTGACTTGCCCTCTGCAACCCGGAAGGCGTTAGGGGTCTCGATGAACTCTTCAACATAATGTTCATTGCTTTCCCTGAAAATATGCAGGTTATGGACGTTTTTAACAAGATTTCCGAGTTATTTCCTGGTATGAATGGATCGCCATTTTAGAACAGTGAGGTTTATTCAAGTGATACTGGCCCAAGTGCAGATAATGTTGCAAGAGACAGTGGGACATAAGAGTGGTAGTCTTAGGTTATCCCCAACACTAATTTTGGTATATAGTTTTGCTGGAAAGGATGTCATTGCTCGACACACGACAAACTGAGACAAAGGTGGATGTGGACGCCATTTGAGTGATTTGGCTAGGTAGAAAGAGAGATGAAAATCTATGCAGTGTCTCGATTCAATAACTGTCGATTTCCTGCTTCCTTATTGAGTAAAGATCATATTGTGCTGATGAACCTCTTCTTTCAAGTCTGGATTGGAACACCATGTAACTTAACTACTGCAGTACATTTATGATTGTGTGCATTAAGTTCCAACCTCGGGTACCAATTTATAAGCTGGGTGTAGAGGACTATTGTTAGTTCTTCCCATCTCTTGCCTAATTTGCCAAGTTGAGTTCATTCACCATGTCAGTGCATGCAGCCTCAAGTTCTTATCACCATTAAATCTCCATTAAACATAGTTTTTATCGAAGAGCACCATAACCCCGTGACTCTCCTTCCTGCACAAGGTAACGTGATTCAACACGTATATTTTCATGTTGCGGTGATTATATTGCTTGTCAAGTTCACATACGAGTTGCACCTAGGGGTTAAGATTGTACCCTGCCACAGTACTCGAAAATCCTGTCCACCAACAGTTTATATTACCAGCGCAACTCACTGCTTGTTTTGGTATTTTCAAATTATTTTTTAGAACATTCTTAAGATACTTCATAGGTGTTCCTAGAGCAATTTAGATTACCTTCAAAATTCTACCTTGTCAAACTTGTTATCAATTCTTCTCGGTTTATAGGAGCTTAAAATTCAAAACAATATGAAGTAAATATTTAATTCATCTTCTATCTAAAAATAATAAAAGAATATAAAGTTTTCAAAGCTTATAAGCAATATTTTCAACTTAAAACCTTTGCAAAGGTTTTAATTTTTTAAATTCTTTTAAACCTTAAGTGGTAGTAATTTCATATACAACATCACTTCAAAAAAGAAATAATAATAAAAAAATAAAATATCTATTGGATTACCATAATTGCTATATTTTTTTTATTAAAAAATAAGAAAAAAATGAAAGAAAAAATAACCTTTATTTATTCAATAACTCTTATTAAATAATAATTAATATATTTATTTTAAATAAATTTAAGAAAAAGGATTTTTTAATCATCTAATGTAATTATTTTTATATGAACTTCATTTTTTATTTACTTTTTTTTTTTATCTATTGTGTAATAAAAAAAATCGTAATCTTTATTTGAAATTTCTACAATTGAATATTGATTGTTTTGAATCAATTTATATATAAAATGTTCATGTACAATTAGTAGTAAATGTTAATTTTTATTTGTTAAACTATATTTTTATTTAAAATTTTGGTTGATTTGGCCAAGGCCAAGAATGTTCTTTTATAATTATTTTGAATCAAACAATGGTTCTAACTTATTTTTGATCTATCTCTTCTTTTTAATATTCCTACCATACTCTCATTACAATCATAATTTTTTGTTAGAATGTTTTAAAGACATGAATCTAAACAAAATTTTAAAATAACTACATACCTATACATAACTTAAATAAGAGAAAAGAAGCAAAAAAAAGATATGGATAGAAGATAGAAAAAGAAACCAATGTAATATTTGCCAAATTTTAAAAAACTAAAAAGTCTTGAATTAAGACTAAAATAAAATGAAAGTATTGAGAAGATAGATAATAATCTTATTCTTCTCTCTATATATACCAATTATCAAAATGACCTTGTAGACGCTTCTTAAGGATCGTAAGGCTTGTAGCTTAAGTCTCTAGGTTGTAGGTTGCTTCCATAGCAACTTTTAAAAAATAAGAAACTTAATGGAATATTTTGAATAGCTATATAGGATTTCCAAAAAAATATCTAAGAAACTTGATTTATTAAATTTTTATTAAAAGATATAATTCATCTAACATGTTTTAAATTATGACTATTTATTTTTATTTACTTAAGTAACACAAGGATGTATAATAAAATCATCATTTTTAAAGATATTGTGAAATTTTATTTTATTAATTAAAATACTATATCAAATAAAAATTATCTTTTAGGATTTTCTTTAATAATATAGAAGGTACTTCTAAAAAACTTTAAATCATCTTTAAAACTTACTATGATTTTATTATTATTTTAATTAATATTTTAATTTATAATTTATAATTTAAAATATTAGAAAGATTATTTTATAAAAAATTATTTAAAAAACATGTATTTTTAATCAAAAGAGCTATTAGGCATATATCTCTCTTTTATTATGTAATTACTCCCTTATGCTATATCAAAAATATACCATTAATATAAGTTTTTCAACAAGTTGGATATTAATGAGGCTAAGAGATAAAAAAAATAACAATAAAAAAAAAATAACCTACAATACAAGAACATCAATAATATGGAAGCTAAATAAAATGATTAATTAATTATATAAAGATATCCTTATAGAAGTTCCATTAGGTAGACACTTCTTACTCCTTTATTATTTGTTTGTTTATTTTTTTATTTGTTTTTTTTTGTTTTGTTTTGTTTTGTTTTGTTTTGTTTTTTTTTTTTTTTTTGTTTTTATTTTAGTTTTTATGTTTTTTTTTGTTTTGTTTTGTTTTGTTTTGTTTTTTTTTTTTTTTACATTATTTAGATTTTTTATTGCTAAATTTCATGTGTTGGAGGTTGTGGGTCGTTGTTTTTAACTTTGACTTTAAATTCTATTAGTGTTACAAACATAAATACATTTTTTCCAATAATTACCTATATGATTGAGTAGAAATAAATAAAAATAGATTAATTTCATAATATCTTCTAAAGAAGCTTCTTAAAAGCTTTATAGACACTACTTTGACTTTATACATGTTTGTAGTTTATTGGTAGGTTGGAAACTTGGTCAATAAGTTAGTCACATATCACACATGTTGGTAGCTTGTAGAACAAGCTAATTATGTGGCGTACATATAAAAAAACTTATTTTATAAGACAAGATATGTGTCTAGCAAAGTCAACACATATTGGAGATCCTATAGAACATCACCACATAGATCTTACTTAGAAAGTATATATGGAGGCAAGAATGAAGTATTTTTCACTCTTATCAATATCTTTCTAGTCTTTAATATTATTTCAAGTCTTTCTAATCTTTTTATCTTCGGTAATAGCTAATTTAATTTAATATATTACCATCTTTGAGTGGCTTTCAAATCTTTTTAAATGACATAAGAATATATTGAATATTCTTTTTTTGAGATTCATATCTTTGACAGTTTGACAAGAGTGTAAACTCATTGTTTTTATCTTATTTTAGAAGTGAGTAAATTATCCTACTTCTATTGTTGTATTTTGAAGGTTGTAGAGTATTTACCTTTATACAAATAATTAAGTTTTCTAAGCATTGATTTTTCTTTAAAAAGAAAAAATCACTCTTTTTTGTGGAAATTTCCATTTGACATTAGATGCTGTGCATTATCTTTTTTTAATTTGACTTGTAGATTTATTAAGTTATTTGAAATAAAAGAAAAAATCATGGATGCTATACTTGGTAGAAGTGAGAATAAATTTTCAACTATTGTAGATCTTTATGAACTTGTTAATGCTTTTAGGATGAAAATTACACACATTACCAATGCCAACTATGGAAGTACTATTCTTATACCTCTCAAAGAAGTTTAGAGTCTATACTAAGAAGTTGTGGAGTTGAGGGAAGCAAGTAGATCAATCTTACAACCAAGTTTAGAGATCTTGCTCTTACAAGCACAAGAGAGACAAGGATTAGTATGCCTAAGAAGTTTGATAGAACAAGATCAAAAAAATTAGCATTTTTGTAACAAATTAAGTTCTATTTAGATTTGCATCTTTTTTAATATTTCAATAGATTTACTCAAGTTGGATTCATAGGTGCACTTTTTTTTGGAATTGCTCTCTCTTAATTTGCATCTTTGATGGAAAATAATAATGACTCTTTAATGATTTTAATTCATTCTTAAAAGTATTTATAGTGACATTTGAAAAAGTGATCAAGAAAGAGCAATAGAAACTAAGCTCTTATCTTTACAATAAGGATTATGGTTAATTACTATATATACTATTAAATTCTAAAACCTTACTTGTAATATGGATTGAAATGATAAAATCCTTATTAATCAATTTTGATATGGATTAAAAGATAACGTCAAAGATTTGTTATTAAAAATATCAAAATTATTATTTTTAAAATAATTTATTACTTAAGCTATTCCATGTAATGATTGGCTATTTGAAAGAGACTAAAAACTAAGATTTGGCTGAAGAAGAATAAGTCAATTAATGACAACAACTTCTAAGCTTTTAAAAACTTATTTATCAAGGTCAAAATCAATGCAAATTAATATAATATATTTTAAACTTCTTATTGAGAAAAAAAAGACTTGATATTGTTAAGGTGATTTGTACCTATATTATCTTGTTGTGTGATATAAAAACTTAGGAATGCATAATTATATGCTAAGATAAAAAAAGTAAGTAATCCATATTACTCAATTTGACTTCTTAGGATACATTATTTTCAACAAAGAACTAATGATGGATCCAAAGAAGGTCTAGACCATCATGAATTAAAATATTTCAAATATAATAAGAGGTGTGCAATGTTTTTTAAGCTCTATTAATTACTACCAGATCTTTATTAAGAATTTATTTCAAGTTGTAATTATATTTATACATTTAAGTTCTATAGAAAAATTTGAGTGACATTAAGAAGTCAAAGCATTGTTTAATGTTTTGAAGAAGAAATTTACTTCTACATTAATCTTTTATTGCATTAATTTTTTCAAGGCATTTTACATGAAAACAAATGCATCAGACTTTGTCTTGAATTTGATATTGTCACAAATGGGAGCACATGACAAATTCCATCCAAAAGCTTTTTATTGTAATAATATTTTAGCAACAAAGATTAACTATAAAATCCACAATAAAGAATTTTTTGCAATTATGGATTTTTTTCAAGAATGGCATCATTATTTAGAAGGTACTTCTAGTCTAGTTACCATATATAGATATCACAAGAAAATTAAGTATTTTAAGTCAAAGTAGGTGTTAAATTATTGTTAGGCTTATTAAAGCATGTGAGCTCTGATTTATGATCCAAAATTTCATTTTTAAATTTTTTCTTATTTTATGATAATTGAGTATGTTAGATTAGGATTTTTATAAGTAGAATCTAGTTTTATTAAATTTTTCGGATTATAAC